AGTGCATTTAGCAGAGGAGGGAACTTTGTGTAGGACATCAAGGCCTATTCAAGTGTCAGTTCTGTTTGTACCAAAGACTAGGGCAATGGCTGAGAGATAGGCAAACTGGCGTCGCCGAGAAAGACTCACGCTGATATACGGCTTGTAGTCATCTTCCATGGACAAAGTCGACAACTTAATGCTGAGTGTGTGCATGGCTGTGGCAAAAGCAGCTGGGAATTGCTCATCCTCGGGAAAGCGCTTTACTGCCTCCCGCAAGAAGTCCAAGCAGACTCCATCGTCCTGCTCATGTCCTTTGAGCAGGTAGGTGACCAAACTCTCAGGGCGTGATCGTCTAGTACCACCTGTAAGCGATTGGAATGCTCAGAATGGGTCTACTTACCCAAAGAGATCCGGGATTGTGAGCGCAAACAAAGCGTTGCTAACACACAGTCTCTTTGCCTCCTCCAGAGCCTCCCTCTTCTCTGCCGTCTCTTTGAGTATGTTTGTACGGATGATGCGTTTGAATGAGGGAAGTAGGTAGCCGAGAAGGGGCTTGTCGGCGGGAATCGCAGTGACGGCCTCAAGCAAGGCACTATCGAGGATGGAGGTTGTCAATTTAAGCGGCGATCCGTTCTCTTGGAGCTCTTGGCTAGCTTCCGGCAGGAAGGTAAGCTTGTGTCCGTGGGTATCGACAACTCTCTCTGGGTCGACTGTGATCCGGAAAATATGGCTGAGGATTCGATCTGAAAAATCATCCAATGACTCCTCCACATTTGCCTTTTTTGCGGGAGCAGGTGCAGCTGCGCGGTCGGAAGCAATTCGCTTGTGGTTCTCGGTGTTGTTCGATCCAGCTGGCGAAGATGTACCACTACCGGACTTGACACCAAGCTGGTTGAAGGGGTTCGAGGCGGCAGGCTTCGGTGTAAATGAGGGTGTTGGGCTGGCCGGGGCCTTGGGAGCCTTGACTTCGCTCGTTGCGGAGTTTGATGTCTCGGCGTCTGCTGACGATTCTCCTTCCGGCTTGGGGGATCTTGTCGAGGAGCCAAGCTTGGCGAGCCGTCGGAGTCGGATCTAAACAGACTGGTCAGATTGTTTTCTATGAGCTCAAATGATGACCTCAAAATCCCGACAGCCGTTGCCTTCATGTGTTCCGGGTGACATGTTTGTCGATTGCGCTCGCCACAATGGGTTCTCTGCTCAATCATCCGTATTGTCATAGTGTGCATAGGTCGAGTAGAACGGCGGAGAGGCGAGAGCGACCGGCGAAAGCAGTTCGTGCCAGACTGGACGTCTATATAAGGCGTGAGGGCAGAGTGGGAATCGATGAGGTTCGAGAGTAGGAGCACTAGGAGGAGGAAGGTGAGAGGACGAGGGGCAGACAGCTCTTACATCGTTCATCTTCTTGACGTCGGGCGCATCGGGCGCTTGGTTGCCCTCGTTTGGATCCATGGCGGGCGGTATGGATGCTTTTAAGCGATGGTCGTAGTGAAGCAATCCGTTTCTATCGAGGCTGGCAAAGGTGCAAGGTTGAAGTCCCCGGATTGATGGTGGGTTGGCTGGACGTTAACGTACAGGGCCTCGCGAGTTGAGGTCAGGAAGGTACTGTACCTAAGTGCGTCGGTGGGCAAGCGCAAGGTACGAACGGCCAGGTTGGTGGGGGAGCAAGCCAGGCAGGCGGTCACTGTGGGGCGACAGCGGACCTGTGAGGTGCCACGGATGAGTCCCTGAGGCTGTTAAGTCCGACTCCAATAAGGGGAAAGACCCACCAAGAATCTCAAAGTCCGCCGCCGTGGGGATGGGGGCCAATTACTAAGCTTAGGCTTTCCTGCTCACCTCAGGTTTTTGGTTCCAAGAGATTCGACACGATAGGTATAGAGTAAGGTAGGCATCAATGATTCATGAAACGTAGCTTTTTCGTGTCTTGCCGACCGCCTGAATCGCATGCTTTAGCTTATGGATCAAAAGCTATGGGATATCCTTATGTAGTCACCAATATGGGGACGCCGCCAGAGGAACAGCAACAAAGCACAGGATGGAAGCTAGTACAGACTGCCTTTGCGCTACAGACCGAAGGTCGATCGAGCTCAGAAGACCCCTAAGACCCTTATTTTGATGAAATTCTCCCTCAATATGAAGCTACTGAGGCTTCAGATGAACGGAGTGAAACCTACGTCATTGGTGTGGCGATGGAACCCTGGGAAACCACCATTCTAAGGTTTGCTCCAAACATGTGGACACGGGGTCTATACATGTGCGTGATTCATTTGAAGGGCTAACCAAAACCTTGAGCTTTGGTCATGATGAACGTTAATGAGCATAAGTTATTTCACACGTGGGACAGTAGAGATAGCATTGCAAAGCTGCCTCCTTGTGTCAATTAGACTAGATACGAGACTACTTTCGTGTAACTGGGTGTCTTGCTGAACTTGCAGACCACCACAAGGGTATTTCCGTGCCTTTCCATTTCGCGTTTCGTTCCTTGGTCCCCGTTTGTCCCCAACGCCAGTCAAATCAACAATTTTAGTGGTACAGTCAGACTAAAGTCTGGAGAAGGTATGGAGCCCATCTAAGTCGGGGTTTAGCTGTGAAGTGAGTAGAACGGAATGCGTTGCATCCGTTCTTGCTCATATCTTGCATCAGCCAAGATTCACCCCTCGCAACCATCCAAGATTGCTCTCGATCTCACTTGTATATGCAAAGATCCCCAAGCCCCAAGGACTGAGCATTGTTACCAAAGCCCAGTCCAGGGGAGATGTCTCAAAGGCGGGGGATGCCATTTGACCCATCACTCAGCCGCCGAGATGTACTCGGAGTAGTGGCCTCGCCATCGCTGTCAGAGCTGCCCCTCGTTCGGCTGGTGCTACCAACGCTACGGTTGGCCAACCGGCTGCGCTCGACTTCCTCTCGGCTCTTGTTCATGAGCCATGCCATGTGCATCTTGAGAATGCCCAAGTTGCTCCTGATCTCGGTGATCTGATCCTTAATCGGCATGACCTGGTTCAGGACCATCACTGTCTGACGGCCCTCGAGGTCCGTAAACTCTTTCTTGAGCTCCTCCATGCGACGTTCCATATCTTCGTAAATAGTCATGACAGCCTCGGTGGGTTTGAACTTTGGTCCGCCTTGGACGTTGTTGAGATTTAATACGTCGTCCCAGGAGATGCAGTCTCGCCGCTCGTCCTTCATTGCCATGATTTGTCGCTCCTGATCTTCCGTCTGCTTTTGCAGTTTTTCGATTTGTTTCTCTTGTGATTTGACCTTTTCTCCAACGACAGCAACCACCCTGAAAATACACTCGTCTTGATGAGTCGCTAGTGTCTTGCGAAGTGCCTCGTGCTTGCAACCAAAGTCATGATATGTGCAAGGGACCGAGGTTTCTGGGCAATGTTCGTCGCGATGTTGTCCCAACTCGGAGAGCTTGATGGTCTCTCCACATTCGGTACAGTCCGTCGTGTTTTTCAGGCACACTTTGCTGATGTGGTCGGCCATCGACGCCGCTTCCATCTTCTCCTCGCAGTATTCGCACGTCTGCTCAAAGTGCCAGCACTTGCCGGACACAGCCAACCATTGCTCCACCCTCTTATCACATGTTTTCTCGGGGCAGTCGTGCAGCGTGTATCGGCAACTGATTGTGTGCTTGACGACCTCGTCGCGCTTCATCTTTTCGCCACACCCTCGCTCAGTATTGGGGCATTCGACTACCAGGCTATCGAGGATATTCGTCAAAAGCCTCGACGTCTTGCAGTCCCTGGCTCGGAATCTCGTCCTGTCGATGGGACAGGTATCGGATGAGTGAACATGGCGCTTCAGACATTCCAGACAGAAGGTATGGTCGCAGGGCGTAATGATCGGGGTGATGACGGGCAGCTTGCAGATTGGGCAGAGTAGGTTATCGTCGGGTTCTTCGACGTAGTTGAGGGCGGAGAAGTCGAGGAGATCCTTGACGTGACTAGGGCTAATGGAGTATCGCAGGGCCTCCCGGGTCGCAAGTTCTTCAACGGGCCACTGGGTAGGAGTTCGTGCTGTTTGTCGAGGTGTTAGCTAATTGGACCCGGAGCTAGATCCGGGTGATTTCCATCAACTCACGCGTCAAAGGGATTGGAACTTCCTCGACAGAGCGCACAGCATTCTCGACAAGGTTGTGTACGAGATGGGTGATGGCCGCATCTTCGTTGGGAAAGCCTTGATGCGACATGGTGCAAAACTCTCCGCTCGTTATCGGTCGGGGCGCGCTCGGTGTAGCAGAGAGGATTACGAGATGTCTAGGAGGACCATGTTTGGGACCAAAGCAGCTGAGGGAGGGGGGCCAAGCTGCGGTGTTTTCCTTGTGAAGTGGTTCGGGTGGTGACGGAGGTACGGAATTTGCTGCGGTTGTGGGTATTGTCTGGTGGCGCAGAGGGCGATACTCCGGGGATCAGGCGCGGGTGAAGAAAGTGGAGGTTTAAGAGATCCAGTTGAGGCCCAATCTCCAATCCAAATAGACTCTGAGGGAAGCACTGGAGGCTTTCGGCAACAGGTGGGAGGGTGACGTGACTCGAGCCGAGGGTCCACGTCCCCGATAAGCCGATAACGCTCAGGAAACGGCAGCTAAAACGCCGTGTGACTAAGCTTCGCACGGCTGAGGAACACAGTCCCCGCACATGGCATTGTCTGCCAAATTGCATGTGCTCGCTTTGGCCGATTCCTCTCTTTCGTCATGAATAAGATGTGTCGTACATGGAGAAATGCAGATACCCATATTCCCATTCCCGATGATGACGTCGATTGAGGCTATCTCAACTCGAACCAACATCGCAAAGATAAAATCCCATTCATTCTACTGGCGCCGTGAACTGCATGGCTCCACAGTTCGACCTACGCTGCTTGCCGGCACTTACACGGTATCTAGCTCAATGAGTGAAAGCCTAGGCAGGCATTGACAAGGTAGGCCTGGAGAAATTCCTTGTCTGTAAACCAGGACTCGTGTTCAATAGCATTTCTGACTTCAAATAACTAGCCTTACCAATGAATCCATTCATCTACAGGTTTGGAGCCCATGTGTCTCCGCGCTCCCAATCGTTACCAACAGGTGCCTCTGGTGTGCGTCTGTAGGCGTCCGGCAGGATCCCCTCGAGAGCTCCCTTAATCTGCAAAGCAATCACCTTTGAAAACCATCGATGCTGAGCCGTGCCACCAGCAAAGATCCAGAGGTTGTCAACTCCAGGGTGCCTCTTCCAAAGCCCACGAATCTCGCCCTGGGCGTCCACACCCCAAGTAGGCTCAAGACGCCTTGCAATGTCCTCGGCTCCGATTCCCAAGGTATCTGGGAGGTTCTTTCGGCCATCAACGTTGCCGAAGCCAATGCACCAGACTATGGCATCCGCCTGCAGATTACTACCATCGGATAGCACCAGACCTTTGTCGGTGTAGGACTTGGGCACGATCCCGGACCGAACACCGGCCTTTTTCGTTGTGATGAGCTCCATGCCGCTGCCCATGTCTACAAAGTGTCCTCCGCAACGATCGATGAGGTTCACGAGCAGGTCGCCAGTCAGCGAGTCTTGCACGCGGAACCCTGCTCTCCTAGCTTCTGCATATCGATCCCTGGATAGTGAAGGTCAGCAAGGGGGCAGGATTACGATTCCTGGGGCTGTACATACGGCTCTTCCTGTGCCTGAATCCTATGCACCAAGCCCAGGAGGGCCCCGCCGATGGCCAAAGGGCCTCCATTCACAATCACGTCCGCGTCGTCAGGGGACAGGATGTCGTAGACCCCAAAGCCCATAGGGTGAGCAAAGTACGTCATGGGAACGACGTACGTCTCTGATCGCTGTACCATGGTAGTCTTGAGACCGGCGTCGTGGCAGTCGACCAAGACATCGAATGCAGTGTTTCCAGAGCCGATAATGGCGACGGACTACCCCGAGACAAGAAAGGCATTAGCAAAATGACAGGTAGAGTTGTTTGTCATATTTTGGTGACGCCTTCAGAACTGACCTTCGCCCCCGCTGCAACTAGGTCGCTAGCATTACGATACGATTCCGAGTGTATGTTGGGGCCCTTGAAGGATTCCCTGCTCGGAAGATCTGGAAGGGGCGCGGGTCCCGCGAAGCCCGCGCCGCCCGTGGCGAGAACCATGCATTTGCAGGATAGGGTGCGTCTAAGATCCCCCGTCTGTATCTCAATATTCCATGTCTTGTCCTCTTGATTGTACTGGGTTGCGGCGATTGTCGTACAGTGTAGAACACGACGGTCTAGGTCGAATTCCTTTGCGAAAGCGACCATTTGATCGGCTAGCTGGTCTCGTGTGAGACCGTCATTAGAAGCCTGGGGATACGCTAATCCAAACTGTTAGTAATGATTCAAGAGTCCCTTCACTGATTCGGACCACGAGATTTGAGTAAGGAGATTTCTCGTTGGCGTAAGAAGGCGACGAAGCGCCGAGAATCGCCCTAGGGTTAGGGTTACGGTCTTGCCTCCTTCGTCCCATCCTTATCCGATACGTCCGCCGGTGTTTGAATGACTATAAGATACAAATTTTTTGTCTCTACGAGCTTGATATTACTTACGAATGTACGGTGTCTCGCAGAATGACTTGTAGACGTGGAAACGCATGCAGTCGTATCTCGTCGCCCAATTATCCCCTACCCTTGCATTCCGGTCGATCACGACGTAGTCGATGTCCAGGGCCTTCAATCGAGCGGCCAGGATCAAACCTCTACAGGAGTGTTTGTTAAATGCAGGTAACAGATTAAGTAGGCTCTTGGGGACTCACCCGTTGCCCCCACCGACAACCAGCACACTCGTAGAGATATGGCTGTCGTCCGTCACAGGAGTCGAAGGGACTCTGAGCAGACCCTCATCCTCGGGGAAGTCTTCGTACTCGGAAAGGTATGTACTCATGGACCAAATCTTCCATTCGTTGTCGCCCGAGTCACGGCCGCTAGGAATGAGCATCATCTTTCCTCGACAGGAAGCCTTGGGAGATCCAGTCATGAAGCTGAAATCACAGTCGAGCCATTTCTAGAGGAGGGTAAATCAGCACCGGGCTAAAACACCAAAGGTTGTTTCCCTGTACTGACAAGTTCACTGGTGGCCGACAAAACCTGCGCCTTCTGAAACTGAAAGCCTTGGGCCTCGCGAAGCGCGAAGAGTTCCAGTAAAGCCGATGCAATGGCACCTTTGCCATTGAAAGTTCTGATGTGAGCTGTGAAAGATAGTGTATCTTTCCAATGACAGGATGGTTCGGCGAAGAGGGCTTCGATGGCATGGTGCTGGCGCTGCTGAAGAGCTTTTGAGAGGCACGATACCACGTCGTTTGCGATCTCCTCGGCCTTGATCATGTCCCAGTTGTTTATTAATTCTGCCGTATTAGGGAGCGTCTCGTAAATATCCCTCCTGATGTCGACCTTTGGAGGGTTATCTGGTAGCTCCATCATGGCGTTTACCACCGTTTGCTTTCGCCTGCTGGACCGTGGTTCTCGTTGAGGTTTTCACATTAAGCTTGCAACCCGAGGCATGGCAGCGGGAGGGGTTTTATGATATTTCTCATGTGACATCCTTCCATAGAGGATGAAACCTCGAGTATACATGTGTGCTCTCTGAGTACCACGGACTTTCTCGCAGCAACCTGCAGGTCATGTTGACCGGCATCTTCGAAAGAGTAACCGGGATATGTGGATGCCAACGAGGCTTGGGGAAGGCCGTAAGATGATTCCTTTGTGGTAAGAAAGGTTGATGCGTAGGCCATAAGGCAATGCGGGATTTCTTGGAGAAGTGCAGCATTCTGCTATAGTGCCTCCAACCAATTGAGCAGAATTTCAATAATTGCAGAAATGGCGTACACTTGGCTTGCGGTTGCATAGGGACGGTGTCCGTGATGATACCCTGACACATGATGTGCCCCAAAGCAGTGCATTGATAGGACGAAAAGGCCGATGTATCTGACGAGTGTCTGCTGTACGCTCAGCCATCCCACCGTTGTATCCCTCGAGGAATTCATTAGTGCTTACCTTACCTATGCTGTGAAACTAGACGATTCGAAGGAGCAATAGCATTTCTTCGGACTGCACCGGCATTGAGGGGAAACATGTAGCCCTGATCCTAGAGGCAGTAACCCTCCTTGCTAGAGGAAAAAACAAATAATCAGTCTTGGGGTGAACCTTGCTATACCGTGCTATCTACTAGTGTCTTTCTCTTATGCACAAAACGCCTCGATTGAGGGCGAACGCGAAGGAAACCGGTAATAGTCTGTGACTACCTAATCATAGTTACTTTTAGAGAGAAGAGAAGTAGTTAGTTATACTTGTCCTGTGTCTAATGGAGTTGGCTCTTCCAAGAACAGTCTGTTTTCGAGCCAATGAGGACTAGGCATAGGCTTGTGTACCTTGTGGTCTATAAGTTTCGTCACACCTTGATTGACGCCTTGCGAATTACACGATCGAGGCTGACTTACCCTTCCTTAGTTCGGTTACTGGTACATGTTACTCTTTCCCACGTCATTTGCCAACACTCGAGTGTTTTGCGCCTTAAGACTAATATCGCCGATGTTGGATTGAATTTAGCAGCAATAGGCTAGGGAGAGTGGTAGATTAGATAGAGCACAACGATGAAGCTCCCCATCGGCCGGTTCCAGGCGCCAAGCTGCTTGTGACACCCCGCGACGCCCGGGATACCCTTGTTGACGAACACGAACGGTGGCGCAGCAGCTCCCCCTGGCTGTTTGCCCCGTATGAACGAATGGACGAATGGTACAACGTCATCCCACCACAGGGCCGGTGGTACAGCCAGACATCTTCCCCAAACGGCACCCAGCAAGACCAGCTCGCCCGGCCCAGACGTTCCGCCGGTTACGAACACCTCTAGGCAACAAGTTAACGACCTGTGTTTGTCTTCCTCCATACGCATAGTCTGTATGTACTCGCTGTACAACTCATCAGCTCCAACCTGAGGCGAACAACAAGTGACCCCCTCCCCCGCAGCTCCGCAGCTGAGCTTATCTTAGCTCCCTTCAGCTCTCCAACCCCTTCGTCTCACCCCAACTTTCGATCTCCAACAGCTTCCTCGGATCTCCCATCCGTACCTTCGTCACATCCCACAAAACACAAACCACCCGTCGCAGCTCATCGGACGCCGGACGGCTAAGTGACAAGATGCCTCCATTCCCTATGCCTCCCCACGATATCTGGAGCCAGGATGCCTTCCAGCACCCGTCCTACAACCCGACCACGATCCCCCGTCGGCCCCACCCCCAGCCCCAGCCTGGCGCAAGCAACAGCACCAGCAGCACCCGCGTCAACGTCAACACCCGTTCCTCAGAACCTGGCCCCAGCGACGCCGTCACGAAGGAGTTCTTCAAACACTCAAGCGCCAAACGCGTCAACACCGACGCCCTCATCTCGAAAGCCCTCAAGGAACAGTACCCCCACCTCGAGCTGGTCGTCGTTCCTGAATCCCTCGGCTACGGCAACGGCTGCAACCTTCTCGCCTACGCTCAAGGCGGCCACGCCACGTTCGAGGTTATTGATGACAAGGATGGCAATAACCTGCCCTCATCCCTCGAATGGCTGCTGTACCTGCCGCCCTCCCGGCGCATGGACGGCAATCTCGGCGGTCTGGCTACGATTACGAATTTCGGCAAGTACCTGTACAAATGGCAGGGCCATGAGTTCATCGTCTACCTCGTTGATGGACGCGACGGCGTGATGCCGTATCCGATCAAGAACTACTATGTCCTCGCGCCGCAGACCTACCACGTCGACCAGCTCGTTCTGGCCGCAGGGAAGTGGAGCAGCGACCTCCACGAAGAGGTGTGGGTGTTCGATCAGGGGTACTGGCAAAAGAGCCACGAGCTCTTCAAGAGCTTCCGCGATGCTTCGTGGGAGAACGTCATCCTGGATGAAGACATGAAGAAGGCGCTCATCGAAGATCACCTATCATTCTACAACTCAAAGGAGACGTACCAAAACCTCAAGGTGCCGTGGAAGCGCGGTCTCATCTACTATGGGCCGCCGGGCAATGGCAAGACCATCTCCATCAAGGCCACGATGAATATGCTTTTCCAGAAGGACATCACGACTCTCTACGTGCGCACGCTAGCGTCCTTCATGGGGCCAGAGTACTCTATCCAGCAGATCTTCGGCAAGGCTAGGGAGTATGCGCCCTGCTACCTCGTGCTAGAGGATCTCGACACCATTGTCACCGATGACGTGAGGAGCTATTTCCTGAACGAGATGGACGGCCTCAAGGCCAATGATGGAATTTTCATCATCGGCAGCACCAACCACCTTGACCGCCTCGACCCAGGCATCTCTGTAAGTTATTCCTATCGCGAATGTGTATACAAGTTCGAGAAGACTGACACGCAACAGAAACGCCCATCCCGCTTTGACAGAAAATACTTTTTCCCCGACCCCAACCTAGAGCAGCGCATCGCCTACTGCCACTTCTGGCAGAACAAGCTCAAGAGCAACAAAGAAATCGACTTCCCCGACCAGCTCTGTGAGGCCATCGCCAAGATCACGGACAAGTTTAGCTTTGCCTACATTCAAGAGGCCTTTGTGGCCGCCCTGCTTGCCATTGCGCGCCGCTCGGACCACCGCGGTAGCAGGAAGCGAGACAGCGTTGAGGCTTTGACGGAGCAGCTTGAGGATGACTGGCTTGGCGTTATCGATGACGCTGAGGATGACGGCGACTTGAAGAAGCTGACGTTGTGGGTCGAGATCAAGAAGCAGATTGAGATTTTGAGGGACGGTATGGAGGAGAAGAACTAGATTCTGGCTCGATTGGTATCTCAGGGTTGCATAAGAATGGACATGGCTTTGCAATGATCGCAGTGTACAATAACAGCATAATTCGCAATGATTTGGAAAAAAGACCAATCAAATCCTAGGGGTTGTTCATGAGTGGTATTGGCGCCGCTCCGGGAGTCGAAATCGCAGTAGTTGTACTGTCGGCAACTGGCCCACCACGTAGTCGATCGGCTGCCTGGGTAAAGAAGGAGTCGATCCGAAGACTGACCGGAAGGAGAAGTAATTCCGAGATTGAGTCGACGTGTCTTTTCAACCGCTGCAAGGTGTCGTGAAAGCTCTCCAGCAACTTAAAGGCTGATGTGATGTCTCCAGGCTCAGTTGCCAGCACAAACAGGTAAATGATGAAGTTGCCGCAGAGTATGAGCTGAGAGCGGGCGTCTAGGGAAGGCTTAGATGTCAATAAAAATTCTCTCGACTTTATGAAAAGGTCTGGGTGAAGCGGAAAGGAGACGTACGGCAGCCCCAGAAGCCTCGTAGGTCCATAGGGGTTAGTTCACTCATGAAGTCCGTGAAACTAGCAAAGTCTGAGAGTGCCGTGCCGAACCACAGGCGAAGGCTGGATGATGGTATTGCCTTGGCAACCTTGGTAGCTGGATTCATGAGGGCACGGTAAAGAAGCGCCAAGTGGGCGTAATACGCTAGATGTAGGGGCGCTGCCCCCGTCAGATCAAGATCTTCGCTGGGACTTTCCTTTGAAAACATACCATTATTGGATACAATACCTATTGTCTTTTCGAGATGAGGCATCGTAAGACATTGCGGCAGGATCGTTGCCCAATTATGGAGTTCTCCCTGGAGCGAGACTAGACGCCCTCGATTCTCCATTTCCATCTTCTGTGAGTCTGGTGGCGCAAGCCTGGGTATTTGACTGAGCCAGTTATCAGTCCTCCATCTTCGGAGTCAAAAGAGGTTTCAGGAACAGAAGGCACTTACAAACTGCAGTCCATTGCCTCTCGCAAGGTCTGACTTATCCTTACCAACTCCAGAAACCGCGCTCCAGAAGCAATATCAAATCCTACATTGCACGAATAGACCAGTGATCGCAAGTCCTCAGGAACGCTCTCATCGGATCGCAGATCGTCCATAGTGACGGGTGACGTGTTAAAAGAAGCAGCATAGATATGTGGCGGGTTTCCGTGGCACACTGCCGACCACACGTCAGTCATATACGTAGCCCACCAAAGCTTCCTCCGCAGCCTCTTTTCCCATGATGGGAGATTCCACTTCTCAGCGTCCTGGTGCAGTCCAATCATCTGGGCAGCGGCTACGGCCTGCGCTGTCGATGTCCAGGTTTTGGGGTGCGCGATACTGTCTGTCCTGTTGGGCGTCATGTGGAGGAGGAGCAGGGATGCTTGAAGCTTGGCTAAATTTGGCGAGTCGAGTTCTCTTTGCAAAGAGCCTGTGGCTAGGTCTGCGAGCTCATGCTGTTGGAAATGAAGGGAACCTTGTAGTGACGGCTCAGACTTCCAAAAGACTGAGGCTAGTGCGTATACTGCCCCTCGAAGGGAGGCAGGAAGCTTTGTCTTGTCTGCGGAGTATTGGTTCAGAAACCTGACCTTGAATAGAACAGGCAGCACTGGATGAATGTGTCTGAAATACAGGCGTACGAGCGTAGGACCGTGAGGCTCAACCATTTCCTCTATCGCACGAGAAGCTTCTTCCCGGGCTTTGTTGTCGTGGGCTGTAAACTCGTCTTGCAAGAGACAGAAGTGAACCGGCGGATCCCACGGATATCCGCTCCCTTCGTGTACCTGAATGAATTCTGCGTCAATCTGATTGGGCCCGCTGAGAACGTCTGAGCGGAAGGAGGCGAGGAAGTGAGTGTCTTGTTCGGCTGCCGGGCCCATGCTGTGTGCTGTCCTATTTTCATTGTCTTCTAGTGTCTGCAGGCAGGTTGCTGGGATCACTTTGATTGAATCACTACGAGCCGAAGAGCGTATGTTGTTTGACGCTATTCTCGGAGACTCCGAGTTACTGGAAGGCCCATCTTGCGCAGCATCTTGAGGGGCGGGTGCGGATGCGAACAGGGATGCAGATAGAGCCGAACTGGAGGCAACACTATCCGAAGCCGATGACTTGCATTCTATGCCTCGCCCCTTGCAGAAAAGACCTGCACCTCATCAGTCATGCATCCTCAAGACACGTCAACCTGGGAACCCACACGACTTACAAGGTGGTGTAGACGTGATAACACACGCCGTCTTTCTCTTACGGCACGCGTCACAAGGGCGGTTCTTTCGGCTTCTTGATTGTCTTGCCTGGCCGAACTCGCTCGGCACTTTGAACCTGCGTCTTTGGGGAGACTTTTTAGTATCTTTAGGCATGGTGTCGATCAAAATTTCGATTCCATCAAGCGTTCGTGATAAGGTTGGCCGACGGTGGTGGTATTGTGTGAGGGAAGTTGGCCGATGCAGTTGGCCGATGCCGATACCGCCTGTCCGCATTTTGGTCATCAATGTTAGTGGCTTACATGCGGGACCTGTCACTGCGACGCTAGGGAGGGGTGGTAACATGCTCCGCCGGTCAACACTTCACAAGGGTTTAACCCCCTTTCTCATATTATAACTGCGAACCTCATTCTTGCCATCGCTTTAAGCACGATTAATCTCATGATAAGTCTCGCATTCTCATCCTTATGAAGCTCTAAGTGCGTGTTTCAAAGACTATGCCGGGTTAAGATAGCTTGATAAGAATTACAGCAGTGATGGGAACAGAGGTAGACGTAGGTAGTTGAGAAGATTATGGCAGGTACGAAAATTGTGTATATGAATTCTAGCATCTATACATCTTCTTTGAAGGGTGTGGCGGAGTTTGCTGTCTTGGCTCCAGGCCCAGAAAGCACTTCAAGAAGTTCAGGAGTCTCGGCCAGCGTCACGTCCCACTTGCTCTGTTGCATTCCTTGAAGTTCACGCGCTGAGGGCGCATCTTTGACAAAGGCATTCAGACTTCTCGCCGGGAAAAGCCAATGCAGTAACGCGTACACCAAGCCGCTCGAAAGAAGCCCATAGATATACGACATGGAGTACAGCTCCGTGGCGCCCTCACTAACAGTTGCGGACGTGTCGACGGCGGCAATGAAGCCTGGCATGCAGGGCACAACACCAACAAGCCACTGAACTGCGAGTCAACAGTGATTCTGTTTCAATAAAGATGGAAGGTAACTCACTGCCACTGGGGCTCGCCAGTTGAAACCGTAGGAGAACCAGTAGATGCTCCCCGAATCGCCGCGGTACAAGTGGTCCACGTTCACCTTGCTCTTATTAACAATCAAGTAGCTAGATATCATCAATCCCGTCATCGGAGCCAAGAAGACACTATAACTTGAAAGGACAGTGAGGAAGATTGTTGCAGTGTTGACGAGACGCCACGGGTTGACGACGACGCTGAAAATCGCGGTGATGTAGGCGCCACGACGGATGTTCAGGTACTTGGGAAATGTCGCAGCCAGGTCAAAGCCGCCAGCAAGCGCGTTTCCAGGGACATTGACTCCGATCTGGGATATAACGAGACAGAGACCCGCAAAGAAGCATGCTGCCCTCGTTCCGGCTGTTTCGTCCTGGGCCAGCAGCTGAGCAAAGAGCGTAGGCGGGTTCCAGATGGCCTCGCCACCAAATCGCTCCTGGGTCGCTGCAGTGACGAGGATGCCGATCAGAGAGCTGAAGATACTATAGAAAGGGAACGAGATAGCTTGGCCTACGATGGCATGCTTAGGTTGTGTAGCGAATCGAGAATAGTCGTTCTGGTTCAGAATGCCCGCCGCGATGGAACCGATTGTTGAGACGATGCCGTAGATCATCAACCAAGCCACACTGTCTGGTCCTCCTGTGTTAGGTAGGGCAGATCCTGAGGTAATGGTATCTCCGAAGCCCGAGGATCCCATAGTTGCGAGAGCCCAGATAAGGAGTACGATGAAAAAGACAAGAGTGATGGAGCAGGCAAAGTGGAAGAATTTCTCGAGACGGTGCGGGCGGATCCAGATTACTGGGAGAGAAATGACGCTGAAGATGATGTACGAGACAAATTGCGCAGTTGTCATACCCGTGTCTGCTGGCATGCCATTGGGAATGTGGGATTCAAGCCTTGGGTCCCAGGAAAGAAGGATCACGTAGATGCACTCTCCTCCCACCCAGGCAGTGAAACCATACCTGTGTTATAGTGTGTTAGTACAGGTCAACATGCCGGCAATGTTGATATAAAGGGTCCTACGAACCAGACTTGAGACAGGCAGAATGAGTTTATGGTCCGTTATGTAACGTGGTTGTATGGGAGTAGGGAAACTTACCAAGGGACAGAAAGATGCGATTCCAGATGACGAATTGTGATCCCCACATACCCCATACCGCTCGACTGAACACAGGAAAGCCAACTAGGTAGACTTAGCAACCAAGGAAGTCTGCCGCAAATTGGACTTTGTAAACGTACTGTGATAGTAGCTGCCCGGCAGTGAGTTGATAATCACGACGGCGGTGGCAATAAGATTGCCAAGAATGATACCTTGAAACACGTTAAACAGACCTGAGAAAAAGCGAAAGAGGGATCAGACTCACATATGAAGGCCTGCCACCAAGCTAGACCTAGAGGGATGAGGGCACTGCCAGTCAAGTAGGTGGTGATATTGCAGTTGACCAAGAGCCCTTGGAATCAGTCAGCACAATGAGGACCTAGTACAAACAAGCCTTCACGCACAAAAGTTGTGAAACGTCAAGAAGCCCCAGGTACGTCTTTGAGCCTCAATGGGTCGAATGTCATCGTTCTGTCAATTATTGCGTTAGTGTTGTCTTGACTAGCAATCCACCTCTGAAAGCCGGCCACATGAACGATGTGCGGGGGTGGGCCGAGTTTACGTACGATCCAGCGGGAAACATAGGGGAGTTCCACCCGCTGGAAGGCGGCTTGCAACCCCATTGTTTCCTTTGATGTTGGCTATTGTGGAGCAAGCAAATGGAACAATATTGCAAAGAGTTGTGGACGAAAGGGACCTTGTCTGTTCGAGTCCTTCGCTTCGGGCATGAGTGCGGCACGAGACATGCATGATTTGAAGAGGAGTTCCGTTGAAGATATAAATGTCGGTCTATGGTGGTGTTATCTTGGCACTCTTCAGTCATCCCACGTTGCGCTAACAAGGATACTTATCACTCTCTAAGGCGCTTCCGGAAATTCTAGCGGGTGTTATCTCAACGTAGGGGGAGGAGCAAAGGACCCCGGCTGGGGATGACCCCTGTCCAGGCTGAAGTTGGCCGATCGATCGGCCAACTTGGAGGTCGTGAACCCCTCAGGCGGGGCTCCTGACGACTGAGTGCCACAACTTACACGGACGCTAGTAGTTGACCTAGACTCTTCGACCATTGGAAACTTCGTCGGTGCTGTTGTCGGCCAACTTCTTATCAAGGTCTTGGTTGGCTGAGTCTGCCTTAGCTTAGGTAACCTCCTTTGTTAAGAGCTTTGCCATCCGCCATCCACCATAAGAAGAGGTAGACAGAGCAAGTAGTTTATTACCGGACGCAACCACAACGTATATCGCCCTTCGACCTCACTCCTCACCTTCAACACCATACGTGAGTTCATCAATCATGGGACTTTACCGCATAGGTGTCGACGTAGGTGGCACGAACACCGACGCCGCTATCCTTGACATTACGGCCTCAGACACGCCCGGCCGCGGTGTCCTGGCTTCCCACAAGGCCTCAACTACACCAGACATTACCACAGGCATAGAAGCAGCAATCCACGCTGTCATTCAGAGCTCAGAAATCGATCAGAAGCGAGTCCTGAGTGTGACAATAGGCACAACGCACTTCATCAACGCCCTTGTTGAGGCTGACACGCGACGGCTTAGCAAGGTCGCTGTCGTCCGTCTCTGTGGGCCATTTACAAGACAAATTCCCCCATTTTCGGACTTCCCCTCTGGTCTTCATCGTATTCTAGATGGTGGTGTCTACTATCTCGATGGGGGGCTTGAGATCGATGGTCGGGAGATTGCGCCGCTCGATCATGAGCAGATTCGCCAGGCGGCCAGGGACATCGTCGCGTCTAGGGTGAGATCAGTTGCCCTAGTCGGTATCTTTTCACCGCTGGATCACTCCGGTACGCATGAAGAGACTTGTAAAAGAATCATGCTGGAAGAAGTGCCGGGTCTCGATGTGGTTTGCTCCCATGACATAGGTCCACCTGGCCTATTGGAGCGAGAGAACGCGACAATCCTCAATGCCGCAATTCTCAGAACAGCGCGCAAGGTCACCCGAGGTTTCAGGATCGCAATGACGAAGCTAAAGCTGGCGTGTCCGCTTTATCTGTCCCAAAATGATGGCACACTGATCGATGCTGATACGGCAGCCGAGTTCCCCATCAAGACCTTCGCCAGCGGTCCGACAAATAGCATGACTGGAGCGGCTTTTCTCGCCGGACTGGATCAAGCAAAGACGACAACCAGAGGTTCTACCGATACCTCGGGCAAAAAGGAAGTGGAGCCTCAAGTGCTCGTCGTTGACATCGGCGGCACAACCACAGACGTATGCGCGTTGCTGCCGTCTGGATTCCCTCGACAAGCGCCTGGGTTCGTGGAAGTTGGGGGCGTGAGAACAGCATTCTCAATGCCCGAGGTCGTTTCCATTGGGCTCGGTGGCGGCAGCAAAGTCAAGATGAACTCCGAATTAGGGGGTGTTACAGTCGGCCCAGGGTCAGTTGGGCACTTCCTTACTGAGCAGGCAAGGATCTTTGGCGGTCCGACACTAACAGCAACGGATGTTGTGGTGGCTTCTGGGAACGCGAAGCTGGGAGACGCGAGCCTCATCAAAGACATCACAAGCTCAACCATTAACGACGCGCGTCAGAAGATTAAAAAGATGCT